CTCGCCCAGCTGTTGGAGCCCCTGTCCCCGGAAAGCAGCCACCTCTGGGTGGGTGCCGGACTCCAGCGCTTTAGCGGGCGTTTGCACTGATTACCCTCACCCCGGGGAAGGACCACCCCACTCCAGGCCTCTGATTTCCCCAGGGGGCGGAAATGGGGTCTGGTTCCCGTTTCCAGATGGCGCGGAGCATCTCCTGTGTGCAGAGCTCGAGCCAGCTCCCAGGGACTGCATCCCCGGCTGAAAATGCCCGCTTGGCTCTTTGGACCTCTGAGCCCTGGTCTCTGGCAGACCGTGTTTACATCCTCTGTCCCACCCGGGGCGGGTCTGTCAGCTGGGGATGGCGGCCGGCTCAGATGTGGCCATTTCCATGTGTGGAGTGTCCAGATACCCAAGTCCCAAGCATCTGTGTTTTGCACACTAGAGACTCATCCGTGCATTCTAAGATCTTCTCCTTACCTCACATTACAAAGAGTGTCCCCTGTGATCCTCCCCTACCCGGGTCACACCTTCCCATACTGGGTTCCTCACAGATGGCAAGTCTAGTGCTTCTCTCAGGGACACTGCACTGGCTGTCCCTTCAGCTTTGAAGACTCTTCCCTAGATGTCTTCATAGCTTTCTCCCTCCACTCTGGTCTCTGGTTAACATCATCTTATTAGAGAAGCCTTCTTATCCACTGTGTCCGAAACAGGGCTCCTTCTGTTTTTCTTTTTCTCTTCCCTTGTCTTCCCTGCTTTGTTTTTCTCCCCACACTTACTAGGATTCCACTTTATTTATATATTGTCTTTCCCATAGTGTATAGACTGTATAAGGCAGCGATTTTTCTGTTTTGTTCTTAGCTGTAATCCCCAGGGCCTAGAGCAGTATCTGGCATATAGTCGATGGTCAGTAAATGTTGAAAGAATGAATGGAAACCTCCTTTGATCCCTCATTTGAAGACTCTTAAGATTAAGATTCCTGGATATGAACTTTTAAGACTCTGAACTGACAGCATAGGCAGAATTCTGCAGGCAGAATGTGGTAAAGATCCTGGGATCCAGATATTCTAAAATTCTGTAATTCGGGACATCCAAGATTCCAGAATTGGCACACTTCTATGATCCAGACAGTTGAGAGTTCTAAGTCTTTGGTTCTTTCCTTCTCACAGAGGAAGCTCCATCTACAGCCTCTTCCACCCCAGATTCCACAGAAGGTAAGTTGGGGGGGGTTGCCAGGGCAGGACTTTCAAGGGCTTCACCTCTAGGCAGGTCAGCCTTCTGCTCCCAGAAGCTCACGGCCCCCTTTGCCCATTGGAGGAGGCAACGACGACTCAGATTTTCGGGAGCTGCACACTGCCCGGGAATTCTCGGAAGATGACGAAGAGGAGACCACGTCGCAGGACTGGGGCACCCCCAGGGAGTTGACCTTCTCCTACATAGCCTTCGACGGTGTAGTGGGTTCCGGGGCCCGCAGGGATTCAGTCGCCCGCCGCTCCAGGCCCCAGGGCCGCTCGGTCTCTGAACCGAGAGACCTGCCCCCACAGCCTGGCCTGGGAGACAGCTTGGAGAGCATCCCCAGCCTGAGCCAGTCCCCAGAGCCTGGACGCCCTGGCGACCCCGACACCGCCCCTCCAGCTGAGCATCCCCTGGAGGACCTGAGGCTCCACCTAGACCAGCTGGGCTGGGCTGCCCCAGGAACAGGGTCTGGGGAGGACTCCGCCACCAGCAGCTCCACTCCACTGGAAGACGAGGAGCCAGACAGGTTGGAGGCTGGAGAGACTGGAGAAGGTGAGATGTCAGAGGTGCTGGGACCTAAGCCCCAAAGGGTGGGTGTTCCCGCCTTGGGCACCACCTGGGAGGAGGCTCATGGCTTTGCTCTCTACCACCACAGAACTGGACTTACAGCTCCGACTTGCTCAGTCCTCGCCGCCGGAAGTCGTGACTCCCCATCCCATTCCCACCTCCAGCTCTGGGACTACCCAGGACTGGATCCCGTCCCCACCCAGATTCCAAGATCCGAACTCAGGGCCTGAAGAGCCCACACTGGAAGAGGAGGAAGAGTCCTGTGGACCACTTGAGCGGGAGCCAAAAGGTGGGCAGTGTCTCCGCAGCAGGGGCCAATCAGAATGCAGTCTGGAGCCACACCCTTTGGGTAAGCAGCATGTGGACTGGTGCTTCCTTGTGCCGGGAAGGGAGAGAGGATTGGGATTTAAAGGAACGGAGGACAGTGGAGAAGGGAGGAGATAGTATAAATCCCAGCCTTTCAAAACTTTCCCATTGTCTGAGATTACCACTGGCTATTTCTATACAGTTCCCAGCCCACTTGAGAAGTTAGCCTTCCTTTCAGCATTAAGATTGGCTGTTTGCTAAAATATAAATGTCTTTCTTGGACGTGTACATGGGCCTTTTCCAGCTCTACACATTTAAAAAGAAAATTCTCCTCATCCCTGACCACATCTATTGGCCATTTGTAAATTGACCCAGCCTTTCTTTAAAATATGCTCCACCTCCAGGACTGGCCACGGGTTGGTTATAGACATCATCATTGTGGGCTGTTTACAAAGAGCTCCCATTTTGGAATTGTCCCCACCTCTATGGATGGTCATTGGCCGGATACAAAGCAGCCCCGCCCCTCTACCCCCTCCCTCCTAGTCCCACTGAAGTGGGCGAAATCCCGGAGAAGTGGCGGTGTCCACAGCCTCTCCCGCCAACCGAGATGGGGAGTAAAGGTGGGCTTGCGGGGCGGCCTGGGGCAGGGGTTGGGGGACAGCAGAAAAAGGTCCAGATTTGCCTTTATTTCCCTCCAATCTGGGGCATGTTTCCTACTGGTCCTGGATTCCCCAGGGCTGCAGGCTGGGGCTGGAGGGCTGAAGGAGGGGTCCATGGAGGTTGTAGAGAGAATGTGGGGTCCCCTTTTCATCAAGCCAGAGCTTTGGGGCCCAGGAGCAGGGAGACCCCCTCCCCCAGCCTCGGGCCCAGAAGGCGCTGTCACTCAGGGCCTGGACGGGCCAGCACAGCTGAGGGCGAGCCCTCCTCCCCCTAGCGGGCCTAAACTTAGACCCCGCCTCAGGCGACCCGGCCCCTCCCCCACTCGCTGGCATCAGCCTGGGGCGCCTGCGCAGGAAGGAGGGCCGCGTGTTGGGGGTGGAGGGCGTTGCCCCGTTTAGGGGTAAAAGGGAGAATGTGTTTAGAAGGGGGAGCAGCCTGTCGGATGGGTCAGCCTGACTGGAGACTGAGGAGAAGGGGGGACATGGAAGGATACTGAGCTCCTGGTGGGGCTCCAATGGCAGTGGGTCCTCAGGAGGCGGTGAAAATTTAGATGGTTGAGATGAAACATTGGAGTTGGGAGGTGACTGATGAGGGCTCATGCTGGGAGGTGGATTTAGGGTCAGAAATTTGAGTTAGGGCTTAGAAAGGAGATGGTGTTACTAATACATTTAGGATTTAGAAAACCCATGTAGGGCCGGGGATTTAGCTCAGTGGTTCCGCCGCCTGCCTAGAAAACCCACGTGTTGGTAGGTATGTCAAGGTGTTCCCACTCTGCAGTGTCAGGCTGGCAGAAATGAAAAAGAACACAACATCTGTTGCTGGGCAGGATGTTAGAAAAAGATCACTCTTATGTAGTTCGTGGAAATAAAAATTGTTAGTCTTAGCCTGGCATGGTGGTGCACATCTGTAATCCCAGCACTGAGGAAGCTGAGACAGGAGGGTCCACAGGAGTTGAAGGCCATGGTGGGCTACATAGTGAGCTCAAGGCCAGCCTGAACTACATAGCAAGACCCTGCCTCAAAAACACAAAACAAGGGCTGGGGATTTAGCTCAGTGGCACCATGCCTGCCTCACAAGCGCAAGGTCCTGAGTTCGATCCCCTGTACCAAAAAAAACCCCAAAGAATTGTTAGTCTTGTTAGTAAGCAATCCGACAATATATATGTATTAGATTAAAAAATACACAACCAGTTCACCAGCAATTTTGCCCCTGGGATTCTATCTCAGAAATAGAATTTCCAGGAGATATGAATATCTGTGGAAGGCTGTTACTTGCCATGATGTTTGAGGAGAGTGGTTAGGAAACAAGTGATTTATCTAGGAATAGGGCTGCATTTGAATACGGTGAACGATGGCACAGCCACGGTTTGAAATATTCTATCTCTCTTTTTTCTCTTTTTATTTCTTCCTTTTTTTTTTTGAGACAGGGTCTCACTATGTAATCCAGGTCAGCCCTCCTGCACGTTATGATTACAGGCTAGGTGGACACATAGACCAGCTTCCTGTAGCTCTTAAAAGCAATAAATCAAGAAGCTGAATGTGACGATGCATGCCTGTAATCCTAGCTACTTGGAGGCCAGCCAGGGCAGCTTAGCAAGAACTTGCCTCAAAATTTAAAAAAAAATTAAAAGGACTAAGGGTATAACTCAGTGGTAGAGCATTTGGGTTCAATCCCCAGTACCACAAAGAAAAATAAAATGGATTAAAAACTATTTAGGGCTGGGGAGCTAGCTGAGTGGTAGACGGTTTGCCCAGCATGCAGAAGGCCCTGGGTTCCATTCCCAGTACCGAAAAAACAAATAAAACTTCTAGTTGACTAGGAGGAAAAGTGCAATGAGATATCCATGATGCAGAAACATGTATATATATATATATTTTTTTTCTTTTCTTTTCTTTTTCCAGTTTTCATTAAGTAAAGGGCATGAGTTTGCATTTTTTGTCCACGTGTAACATGAGGCAGAGTAAGGTTAAGGGGATTTGCTAAGTGGTTAACTTGGATTTTCTGGGAGGAGAAACAGGATGCTGAAAATGTGGAAGTTGGGTCAGGGCTCTGAGAGCTGCCTTGTTAAGTCTAGGCCCGCTGTGGGATGGGAAACGAGGGTCAGGAGGTCAACAGGGCCAAGTCCCAGCCCCAGCCTGATGCCTGCCCCTGTTCCCAGTGGTGGACCTGCTGTACTGGAAGGACACCAGGACGTCGGGAGTGGTCTTTACAGGCCTCATGGTCTCCCTCCTCTGCCTCCTGCACTTCAGCATCGTGTCCGTGGCAGCGCACGTGGCTCTGCTGTTGCTCTGCAGCACCATCTCTCTCAGGGTCTACCGCAAAGTGCTGCAGGCTGTGCACCGGGGGGATGGAGCCAACCCCTTCCAGTGAGAACCCCTGACCCTAAGCCCTGTCACACCCAGCACTGACCAACACTCTCACCATGACCTCAAACTAGCCCTAGCCGCTGATTCTGACCCTCGCCCTGACCCACCCTCATCTTTTTTCCTTCTAATCCTCTCTTCTGACCCTGATTGTAAACCAGATTCTGACTACTGGCCCACAGCCCTAAACTCCAATCCTAATCTCAATCCCTTAATCCCTGACTTCTTCTCCTGACCCTGGCCTTGACCCCAACCCCCTACATGTGTTTTGATTTGTCCCTCAATCCTAACTTTGCTGTTCCTCCCAAGCCTTATTTATTGCCCTCGTTTCAGCCACTTCCTCCCAGTCTGAGCCCCATGCCCCCACTGAAGTGTCCCCACCCCTTTGTCCCATCAGGGCCTACCTTAATGTGGACCTGACCCTGACTCGGGAGCAAACAGAACATTTGTCACAGCAGATTGCCTCTCATGTGGTATCTATGGCCACGCAGCTTCGACATTTCTTCCTGGTAGAAGACCTTGTGGATTCCCTTAAGGTGACTGGAAGTCCCCCATCCTGGGTTCCCAGTGGTTACTTCTGTGCCCCTGGGTGGGAGGGCCATGACTGGGTAAGTTCACAGCCCGTGGGCCCTGCTGACCATGACCCTCACCCCCAGCTGGCCCTCCTCTTCTACATCTTGACCTTTGTGGGTGCCGTCTTCAATGGCCTGACTCTTCTCATTCTGGGTGAGCTGGAAAATCTTCTGGGGTGGGGGGCAAGGTCAGGAGGAGGCTTTGGTGGGGGACAGGGCTCCAGATGGAGCTGTGAGTCTCCTGGGAAAATCCTGATCTCATCTCTGTACCCACAGGAGTGATGGCTTTATTCACCGTCCCCCTGCTGTACCGGCAGCACCAGGTGGGTGTGGCAAGCCCACTGTTAGCAAATATGGGTGGTCTGACTGCCTCCCTCCAGACCAGGGCCCCACAGACAGATGTCCCAGCCACACCCAGGGGTTCTGACTGCTGCTCCTCCATATGAGAATTAGAGTCTAACCAATATGTCTCAGTAGCCAGAGGCTGGCTCTCCCCCACTCCTGGTACTGGGGATTGAACCTCCTTTTATTTTTTATTTTGAGACAGGGTGTTGCCAAGTTACCCAGGCCGGGCTGGAACTTGTGATCCACCCACCCCAGCCTCAAAGATTACTGGGATTACAGGCATGGGCCAGCACACTTGGCTAGACAGGCATTTTCATTGGTGTCTTCAGAAAGAGCGAGGATCCGACTGACATGCCCCCACCTATGGCAGGTGACCAACTAATACTCCTTTCTGAGGATGCACCCACAGTCTCACTTATTTACATGTCCTCACCACGGAGCAAGGGCCTGACTTGCATCTTTGTTTTTGACACAGTCTGAGAATGAATGACACTCATCCCACCCAGAAACAGGCAGATAGAGTAATGCCTTCTCCCTGGGTACCACCAAAGACTGACAGACACAAATTCCAATTGAAGAAAAACAGACCAAGCCATCCACCCCCAGCCTTAGTTGATCTGCCTGTCACCCAGCTCAGCCCAAGAGAGACAGACTGCTGAATATCCTCACACCCTGAAGCAGCCCGGATCCACTCCCATGCCAGTCAGAATTGGGTGGGATGGCACACTGGCACAAGTGACAGGCAACCTATCAGGGACAGACAAACGGATGGACACTGCCTTCTCAGCCCAGCTGAGAGCCAGACCATAACACACCCTGCTAGACACATAAACCTAGTTAACTCCTCACAGGACTGAATCCCTGAGACTCCAAATTCAACTCAATTGTAAATTAGACTTGTGTTCAGATTAGCCCATCAGCAACTCACCACCCTCTTCTCTCACCCTACCTCACAACACATGGACTCACTGAAAGCTTAACCTGGTGCTCCGGAGCAAGCTTGCTGACAGATACCTGGGTCCACCTGACATCACTGCCTACACAGAGCAGGGACCAAGCAACTGACCGATCCCACAGCTCGAGCTGCAGACTCCCGAGGGCATCTGACTGGGTTCAAAGTTGAAGGCAGAGCAGTGGGCTACACTCCTAGCCCCTGATGTGGAAGGAGGAGAGGAAGCAGTCTCCTCCATGAATTAAGGAGAAGAACCCCTTCCAATTCCTTCTCTCACTCCTGCTTGATCTCCCCAGGCCCAGATTGACCAGTATGTGGGGTTGGTGACCAATCAATTGAGCCACATCAAAGCTAAGTAAGCATGAGGCCACGGACAGGGGTGGGAGGTGGGTGGGTGGCAACATTTTCTCTCCACGCTCCCTGCCCCCAAATCTCCTGGCTCTGAGTGCCCCTTTCTTAGAACCAGTGACAGACGATTCCAGGCCATTCCAGACGATTCCAGGTGGAGGGCTGGGGCTGGCTTTGGGCACTCAGCTGCCCGCCACCTAGCTTTTCCGTAGTTTGCCATGCCTCCACCATCTCTTGCCACACCTCGTGACTCCAAGCGTTTCTCCCTCAGGATCCGAGCTAAGATCCCAGGTACGGGAGCCCTCGCCTCAGCAGCAGCCGCAGTCTCCGGATCCAAAGCCAAAGCCGAATAAGAGGGGTGTCTCTGCCCGCGGGACGCTGCCCCCTCCCCGAGCAGCCCTCTGCCTCCCTCCGTCTCCCGTTCATCCTAGTCCACTCCCCATCTCTGCCACTTGAGCCGTTTCCGGTGGGTGTCAGGATCATGCCCATTAGGGAAACCGCTAATTTGCCCTAGCGGTTAGGACTACATTTCCCAAGAGGCTCTGCTCTAAGAGTCCAGAAAAGGCTAGGCACCTTGGCTCGCGGGTTCTGCTGGGACTTGTAGTTGACTAGACAGGCACCGCCCCGCACTTCCGCAATTCCACCGCTGGAGGCGCCGTGAGGGGTTGGTGTCTGGAGTAAGCCACCAGGCCCAATGCAGGGGATATGCATGGGGCCCAAAGGAGGCCTGAGCTTGGATTTATACTGTAATAAAGACTCCTGTGGAAAACAAGGCCTTCTGTGCTTCCAGCCTTCTTCAGCTGTCACCTTCCTGCATGGAAAAGCTTTTAAGGGACACTCCAGGACAACCTTCCCTATTTCTGTGGAAGAAGCCATCTTTCCAATCTGTTTAGATTGTGAATGATTGAGGGGAAGATCCTAAGACATCACTCGTACCAGGGCAGCCATGTTCCTCGCCAGTGCTGTCGGCAGACACCACTCATGGATCCTACATTGTGCCTACTGCAAGCCAGCTCCCCCGAGATGCAGACCCGTGTTTTCCCCAAACATATCCAAACTCTTTCTCATGCTACAGATTTCAAACTCGGGGACATCCCCATTGCCCACGTTGTCACCAGGCCACACACCTACGTGTGGCCCTAGTCTTCTACACCAGTTAGGAAGCTATGTCTAGTCTACCACCCAGCGTCTCTCACCACTCGCTACTCTCTGTTCTAATTGCCTGATGGCCAAGCGCAGGGCCTCGTGGACTCACTGGGCCCAAATTCCAAAACAAAACTGGGGAAGGAGAAAATAGGGGGAGACCAGAGTCCAAAGATCCATGGACCTGTGTTTGAATCCTGGCTCTACTACTCCCAGCTGTGTGATTTTAAGCAGGTAACTTCCTATCTCAAACCCTCAGTTTCCTCAAATAGGAAGCTGTCATCCTTCAGAGTCCTTGGAACTGAGCCTGACATATGAGGTGTAGGAATAAAATACAGTGAATGCTTAAGTTTAAAATTTTCTTTTTACAAGACACATTACCATTAATTCTTCTCAAATCCTCTCCTTCACTTTGAACCCATTTATCCCATTGTTCTTGCCACTTTCTGAAGCAGTTCTGGAAACCTCTTTTGTGTCTAGTTACACTATTGTGGCTGCCTTTATGTTCTGAATTGATTCAAAACATTTACCTTTCCTGGTCATTTTGACTTTGGGAAAGAGCCAGGAGTTGCGCGGTGCCAGATCCAGTGTACAAGGTGAATGAGGACGCATGGTAATTTTTTTGGCTGACAGAAAGTGCCCTAAACATAAACCATAAATTCCTTTGGAAAGTGCCAAGAACAGTTGCATAAGTGTGTTTGAAGCAAGGGGGAGTATTTTAAGGGGGACTAATGGCAACACTACTTGTCGTTTTTTGAACAAGATCTTGCTATGTAGTTCAGGCTGGCCTTGAACTCACTATGTAGCCCCGACTAGCCTCAAACTCTGTGATCCTACCTCGGACTCCTGAGTGCTGGGGATGTGCCATGCACCACCATGCCTGGCTAGAGTAAAAAAAAAAATTTAATATGAGTATTGGTCATATTTTTTGTTCATACCCTGAATAGTAAATGCTCATTAAACAGAAGCTGCTATTGTTAGTTATGATGTTATTTCCCAAATGTCAGTCAGTGCTTTGTGCCTTTCATTACCCTTAAATCAACTATTCTGTGATTTGCTTAATCATTTTCTTTAAATTGGCTAATATAGAATTAAACCTGGGGCTGGCTGGGTATAGTGGTTCATGCCTGCAATCTCAGCATTTAGGGGGCTGAGGCAGGAGGATCAGCACATGTTTGAGGCCAGCCTGGACTACATAGCAAGACCTTGTTTCAAAAAAAAAAAAATGGGGCTAGTGATGAGGCTTAGTGGTAGACCACTTGCCTACATTATGAGGTTCTGGGTTTCATCCCCAGCAGGGCAACATAAATAAATAAACAAACAAAATAAAATAGAGCAAATATATTTTATAAAAGAAATGTTACATTGGATGTGGTGCCAAATGCTTGTAATTCTAGCTCTTCAAGCAGGAAGATTGTTGAGTTTGAGGCCAGCCTGGGCTACATAGTGAGTTCAAGGCCAGCCTGAACTGCATAGAGAGAGCCTGTCTCAAAAAACAAAGCAGCCAAAAAAGAAAGCAGCCAGGTGTGGTGGCACACACCTGTAATCCTACCACTTGGGAGGCTGAGGCAGGAGGATTAGTACAAAGCCAGCCTGAACTGCCTAGCAAGACTCTGTCCCAAAAAGACAAAACCAAATGAAAACAAAACAAAACAACCAAGGAATGTTACTTTCTCACTTTGAAAGGAAGCCAATATTTCTTGCCATAACAGATGATAACAGTAAAGACAAACACAAAAATATTAACATTCAAAATTCGGGCATCATCTAAAATCATCTCATGCCCATAGTGACACATGTCTTTTTAGGAGCTGGATCATGATATTTCAAGCAGTAGGTACAGCCACAGTATTTGTATTTAGGAATCCCAGCAGCAGCTATTTCACTTAAAAAGGGGGAGGGATGCAGGGGACTTATCTTGAATCTGGATTTGACAAGCAGGGACGATATTTTTAATTTCCACACTAAAAATGATAGCAACACTTTCTAAAGATGAGTCACACCTTTCATCAAACAAAACATTAATGAAAGAACGGGGAAAGAGGGACTGGTGGAATTATGATTCCAGGAAGGGCCAAAGACCCAGCTCTGTCCTCAGCACCCCCTCCCACTGGTCAAAAACAGGTTGAAGGTTGAAAGAAACTCTATTGAGCGTACAACTGCTCATTGTATTTCCTCCAGTGAAATCACTTCTATTACCCGTTACACCGATGGGAAAACTGAGTCTCAGAGGAGAATAGTAACGACATTCTTTCTTTCATCCTACGATATATATTGGAAGTTGGTCATGGTGGTGCACACCTGTAATCCCAGGACTCAGGGAGGCTGAGGCAGGAGGATCACAAGTTCAAGCCCACCCTGGAGGCGAAGAGCCGTGAGAACACGCAGAGGAGAGGAAACCCGGGCTGGAGGATCAGCAAATGCCAAAGCCCTAGGCAGGGAATGCGCCTGGTGTGTGCAGGGTTGCCTGTGTACCTGAGCCAGGTCTGTGAAACGAAAGGTGAAGGGGATGGAGTGGAAAGGGCAGAATTATAGGGGTCTGTAAACCAAAGAGAATTTTCACTTTTACAGTGAGATGTCAACCATGGGAGGGGTTCATTCCGGAGAATGACATCGGTGTCAAGAAATCCGACTTTGGTTCCAAAAGGACCAGTATTTTTATGATCATAATGTCCGGATGAGCTGCGTGAACTGGGCGATGATATTTTTTGTTTCTCAGCCTCAGTGTCCCTAACCATAACACGGAGGTATAAAACTGTTATGATCTCTGGGATTTAAAGTCAGTGGGGACAGGATGTTTGCCATCCCCAGCACGGAGGAGGAGGAGGAGAGGGAGGGGGAGGGGTGGAGGAGGAGGAGGAGGAAGAGGAGGAGGAGCAGCAGCAGCAGCAGCAGCAGGAGGAGGGGGAGAGTGCCTGGGACTCCTTGAACGCTTAAACCCTTCCGTGGATTTTGGCTCCGCAAAGCCTCGCAGTTCCACAAAGGGACAGCAGGTGGCACAACGGCCCTGTAGCCGCAGCCCAAAGCCTCCAGGGCCTCGGCTCAGACCCTATGGTGAATTTACTCTTCAGCAGCAGAACGCAGAATTTTCCGTAAAGGGGGTTCCGAATACCGATCTATGAGTTTCTTCTCTTAAACTGAGTTTTCATTTTGGAAAAAGGAATTCCTGCCTCTTTAACATCTGACCAGGTCCCTAAACGCTGCTTCCCAGAATGCATGGCGCTATGTAAATAGACAATTTCCAGGATGAGGATGATTCATGCCATATGACGCATAAGAAACTTTGAAACTTCAGTAGTTATGATGACTACATAAGCAGAATTTATAGAGGTTGATATTAACTATCTCACATGTTCAAAACGTATATGACCGTAATGGTAAAAAGGAAGAGTTTTAGGAATTTATATAGCTTCATGGAAACCACGTTCTCTGCCCGGATGATCCTCAGTGGTCTGGGGTGCAGGCTTCAAACCTGTAGCTGTTTAGCGACAGAGTGGTTCAATTCCACCTTCCGGGCGTCCTGGAGCAACGTTTTCTTCTTCCCCCACTTGCAAACCACTTTAAGGACTGAGGTCTACAAGGCATCCCTGTCACCTCGGCACCTGGAGAGGTCGCTACAGCCTCGTAGCTCACCACTGAAGGTCTCGTCTTGCCCTGTGGTTTCTGCCCATGGTTCTTTTTTACGCGGGAATATCAAAGATGACTGGAAAAGATGAAAATCATTTCTTCTACACAGCTCCAGGATATTCACGTGGGTTTCTCCCCTTCACTGGCTTATTCAGTCAGGCATTCACGCACTCATGTATTCCATCATACACACACTTTTTCATCAAATATGTGCCCATTTTCTCATTCCCTCATTCAAGAAGCATTTGTGGACTGGCTGCTGGTGACCAGCCCCGTTCCGGGGGGCACACAGCGCTGATGACAGCCCCAGCCCCGGGCTCAGGGCGGAAGTGGTCCAGCGGGAGCCGCAGACTAAGGCTCCTGCCACTGTTCATTGAATTACCATGCGCTGCTGGAAGGAAAAGTGCAGAATGCAGAAGGCCGACAGACAAGGAAAGCTGACCTACTCTCAGGGTGACCGACACTCCGGCAGACACTGGAAGGATGAGCGAGATCAGCGAACCGCAGGGGAAGGCTTTCCCTGGCCCAGATGGGGTGTCTCCAATAGTAGCTATGGGCATGGCAGGGATGGCTCAGTGTGCACAGGGCGCTGTCACTCAGAAGCCCCTTTCTGCCCACTGGTAAACTGAGGCTGGGCAGATGCAATCTCTCCTCCAGGGCCCCAGTTTGGGGGAGGCTGTAGCCCCATAGCGCTCACAACACCAGCTCCTGCTCTTTACTGCTGTCCAGAATTGTCCTTTCCAAGCCGATGACTTCTAAATTTGGGGGGGGGGGGTAAGATGGAATCCAAGGCCTTCGCATTGAGCTACATCCCCAGGCTTTTAAATTTTTTTCTTACAGGGTCTCACTATGTCACTCAATTGCCCAGCCTAGGCTGGAAGTTGAGATCCTCTTATCTCAGGCTTCTAGAGTGCTGGACTCATAGGGGTTCGCTGCCATGCTCCTCTCTAAATGTCACGTGAATCCTTCCTCTCCTCCCTGTCCTGTGGCCCTGGCCCTGTTGCAGGCCTTCTCTTTAGTTTTGCTGTCCTCCCTTCCAGTCACCCTTAGCCTGATGGCTAGAAGAGTCATCCTAAAGTAGAAAGCAGCCTCTGCCCCTCCTGTGCTCAGAATCTGGATGGCTCCCTAGGACCCTCAAGAGAAAGTCTAAATTGTTTCACCTGGAAAATTAATGGCCTGCAGAAACTGGTCCCTGCTAACCTCTCTCCCCACACCTTTGCGCCATAACCATGGACCTTGGCCGCCTTCCACTCATCAAGCCCTCTCTCCCCCAACAGGTGTTTGGCCTCGTAATGTTCAGCCATCTAGTCTTGTCCATATTTCACATGTGTCACCTAGGACCCAACGCAGCTGTGACCTCCTCCAGTAAGACCTGCTTTACCCTCAGTGAAGGTAGATGCACCTGGTGGGCCCCCTCAGTCCCGTGGGGCCCTCAGTTCTATCCCTTTTGTGCTGTCTCTGACTGCAGGTGGATCTGTATCCACTCCCTAGGAGAGCAAGCCAGGCCTGGGGCTGAGTCCCTGCCACGTCTCCAGTTCACAGGAGGTGCTCAGCAAAAACATGTTTCTGAGACAGGGTCACACTAGTAGCCCAGTCTGGGCTGAAACTCCTGATCCTCCTGTTCAGCATCCCAAGAACTGGGATGAGAGGTGTGTGCCAGCGCACCCGACAACTCTCCTGCTGATTCATTTGCTAAATCATTCAAAGGTCCTCGGGACCACCCCCTCCCTCCTCAGAGTGCTTGCTGCTATGCAAATAAGAGGGCTGAATGTAGCAATGGGGATGGCTCTGACACAGCTTTGAGAAGAGAAAACTGCAATACTTTTTGTTGATGGAGACTTGAGTTTGCCCCAATATGTCCATGGCCCAATAGAGTTGGTCCCAGATAATCAGAAGGCAACATCTTGAGGGGAAGAGAGCCAAGTGTCTGGAGTGCATGTCACCTGGAGAACTCTGTTCACAACTGGAATGTTCTGCAACGGTGAGAGTGCAGACTTCTCAAACATCTTCTAGCCAGGCTTGGTTTTTACCCCTTTAACTGTTGCTGAAGCCTCGAGGCATCCCACCTCTCACCAAAATTCCTCCTTCACCAGGATGCCCGTGAGACCCTTGAGCACATGAAACCCTCACAGCTAGCATTTGCCTCCATACTTTTCCCCCTTGAGAGGCCTGGCCTGTGTGCATGGGAAGTCACTCCTGACTTCCAGCCTCCTTCCATCCTGCTGTAAGCTGGTTCACTACAGAGTTCTTCTCTCTCTCTCTCTCTCTCTCTCTCTCTGTGTGTGTGTGTGTGTGTGTGTGTGTTTAGAGTCCCCTTAGCATCTAACCTTACTCTCTCTTGCTGAAAGGAAGCCAAGTAATTGGTGTCAAGAGAAAAATAGATCCGGAGCCATGATGGATGCATTTTTCTGAGCTTTTTATTTGCGACAGTGCAGAACCAAGGGCAGAGTGGAGCAGCCCAGTGACAAGGCACCCCAGCCCCAGGGTCAGGTGCAAAATACAAAAAAAAAAGTCACAAATACAGCATGGGGTGGGAGGGGCTTGGGGATTCAATAAACTGTGGTTGGCAGGGGCAGGACCTGCCCAAACTCACACTCGTACCCAGGATTCTCAACCATACAGACTGCAAAAATTGACCATCCCTCAGGCTTCCTCAGAAAACTAATATCTCAGGTCCCCAATTAACCCAGTGAGTGCACAGCTGGAGGACTGGGGACAGTCAGACATGGTCAAAGGGGCACACAGAGGAGAAACGCTCAGAGCCGGCTGGAGACTGTTGCACCAGCCAGGTTGCTGAGACAATCAGAAAAGGGTTAGCTAGGGATGGAGAGAGACAGCCCGAGACAGGCTGATGCCAATTTCCAGAGCATTTCCAACTCCATGGCACACTGGTAGATGCGGAAGCGCTCACACTCACACACACACGCACACACCCATATATAATATATTTATTTATACATAATAGATATAAGTGCCTTTTGGGAATCAGGGAAGGGATAAATAGGTAAGGGTGGGTCTGGTTTAGGGCCAGAGATGTGGGACAGGGTGTGGAATGTTGTCCATGCGACACAGAGAGTGACGGGGCCACTCCCATATTAAAAAATAGAAATTTTCCTCTTGGTGAAATTCTCACTCACGGTTGAAGCTCAAGGAGAGGCGAGGTGGGAGAGGCAGAACCGAAATTCGGAGCTGAGGGAGTGGAGGGATGGGACTGGGGGAGCCCAGCCTCTCCATGTTTGCCAGTCCCAAAATATTGGGGGTCCAGGTGGCTAAAGCCTCAGCCCTTCAAACTTCTCCCGAAAATGTCAAGCCCCTCGCTGCCAAGGGCAGGGAGAAGTTGGCGTCCTAGGCTGGGGAAGGTGGGGACTTCAATAAAAAGGCCAGGGGTCCGGGAGAGGGAGAGGCCACGTGGATGTGTCACTGTCAACCCCCTTCTGCATTGTGCTCCTCCTTTGTGTCTAACACATTGGTGAGGGGAGGAGGAGACAGGTAGGGGTTGAGGAGGCCCAGGGAAGGCTTTGAGGAGTCAGGGTCCTGTCCCACCAGGCCCACCCCACAACCCGGCTGCTCATTCACAGTATAAAGCACTCCAGCAGGAAGGCATCGCTCACAGCGCCCCCTGCTGCTTGAAACCAGAAAGGTCCAACAAGGATGGCCAGGGAGTAGCTGGAAGGAGGGAGTTTGGAATAATACTGAGATCCTTCGGAAATGGGGAGGGGGACTGAATGGGGGGACCTTAGGGAGTGAGAAAGTCCCATCCTAGCCGGGGTTTTTTTGTCTAGGAGGGGACGACTGGACAATCGGGGAAGGAAGTTCACATTTCAGAATAAGTCTGGGGGGAGCTGATTATCACAGGGAGCATCAGCTTCCGGGGCTGGCTGTGGGGGTGGGGCCCGAGGCCTCCATTCCGCCCAGAGGAGGGTCTAACTCATGGAAAGGTGGGATAAATAAGCAGGGTCGGGATGGGGAGCCAGCCCGGTCAGCCCTCTGGAGGGGGTGTGTAGAGCAAGGGAGGCCGCGTTCCTTGTTGGGCCTCTCTGGGGAGGGCTCCAGCCCACCTGCAGCCCGTGCCCACTCCGCACCATCTCCCCCACCCCGCCCAGCACAGGACGCCAAAGGTGGGCGTCACCCCCACCCGCCCCTCTATCCCCAGAGGTTGGGCTGAAGCCAGCGGACCAACAGGCATCTGGGGGTGTGCATCCCCTCCCTACCCCTGTCCCCAAAGTCACCAGCTCTCCGGCCTCGCCCGGGCACACAAGCAAGCGGTGGCACAAAACACAAGAGGTCCTCTCGTCCGACGGCAGTGGAGACAGAGGGTCAGACAGAAGAGTCAGGGAGGCCACGCACCCAATTTGTCTCTTCCCCTCTCTCATCCTCGTTCAAATCGCTCTCCCTTGCGTGTCTGTTTGTTGTGTTTGTGTAAAGAGTTCACAGGGCAAGGAGGGAGGGCGAGGTCAGGGGGTCGGAAGGCTGGTCACTGCCGCTGGAGCGCTGGGCGCCGGCGAATGCGGAGACCTCCGGGCAGGTGAGGACAAACGAGGAAGTGTACGAAGGGTTAACAACGGGGAAGGGGTCGCCGAGGACTTGGACTTCACTGTGTGTAAAGAGAGAAGCCGTCAGGTGGGGGGGCGCGTCTTGGCTGGTCTGGAAGGGCAGGGGCGGTGGTGGCGGGGGCGGCAGCAGCCAGCTGAAACCATCTTCCTTAGCGGATGCGGACCCCGGCAAATCTCTCACCTCCGCCAGCGGGCCTGGCCCCGGCCCGGGCCCCTCTTCGTAGGGGATCTTGCAGCCCGGTTTGTGGGCCACCAGCACAAACTCCAGGCGCTCCTTCTCCTTTTGGAGCTCGGCGATCTCCGACTCCAGCTCTGCCTTTTCTTCCTCCAGCTGATCTGTCTCCTGAGGTCCCAGGGGCCAGGTCGCAGGAAAGTCGAGGAAGGAGGAAAGGGAGTCAGTGACCAGAGAAGGTGGCTTGGGGCCCCTCCTGAGGGTCGCTACAGCAGGGGCCACTCCAAGCAACTCCCAAAAGGGATGGAGTCCTGGCGCGCTACGGGATTTGAGGTCGTTCCTTCTAGGAGCCTCCATTTTCCAGTCTGCGCAGTGGAAAGGAGTCGGGCGGACATGGATGTCTCCCAGGTGTGCAGGATGCACACAAGTTTGTTGAGTGAATAAACAAAGGCTATGTCTTGTTCACACTTTGGGTACTGTCACCCCTCCTCCGCTAACTCCCCGTAGGAAAGTAGAAAATTGCTCTGGCTTTCTTGAAGGGTAACAGGGGGGCACCTTGTGCAGACATAGAGTAGAGAGCTCAGGCTGAGGTAGGGTGCAGAAACGAGTGGGTTTTGGTGAATGCCACCATCCTAAGTTCTGGAGAACGGTGGGTGGCTGGGGCAGGAGGTGGGGAATTAATTTAAATTATAATAATTGAGTTTCATGGATTCTTCCAAATGTTCAAGGTATGTGGAGCCTGGGATAGTTGATGAGGAGGTCAAGGAAACGGAGAAAATGGGGCCAAAATGGGTTATGGCTCGGCCAAAACCAAATGGGAGAGATGACTGAATCTGCCTGCCACTTGTCCCCACAAAATGCAAAAGAAGCCAGGAGAAGTGTCCATGGGGTCATAAATCAGAGAAGAGGGGGAGTGGCCAGGAGCTGACAAGGCGTGTAGGGGTCTGTGTGTGTGCCCAGGTCCACCCTGTCTGGCCACACCATCCCCAGTTCCCAATGAGGCATCCGTGGTTGGGATCACAGGATAAAGGCACAGTGCAGGTGCAGAATGGAGAAGGGGAGAGCACGCCCCTCCTGTGCCCTCAACCCAGGGAACACCCTTACCGCCTGCAGTCTGTCGGTGAGCTCCCTCCGACGGTTCCTGCATTTAGCTGCTGCCAACTTGTTCCGCTCTCGGCGAACCCTTCGCTTTTCCTCTTCTTCTGGGGTGAGCTGAGTAGAGGAGAGAGAGGCCATGAGATCTGGGGATACAGTGCACTTCCTCCATCCCTGCTAAACCTGCTGGTCTTCAAGGACCCTCAAGCCAACACAGACCCCTGTGTCCTTGCTGGTGCAGCAAGAGTGATAGGGTTTCTGCAGCCTCGAGGCCTGAGCAGACCCCCACCCCAAGAGTGACAAAGTTCCTGCTGTCTTGTCTCCTCCCTCCACCAGGCCAACTTCTGACCCACACCCCACTCACCGTCTCCTCTCGGGGTCTCCTAGGCCGGGCTCGTGCTGGGCGGGCAGGCCCAGGTCCACTGGTAGTTCCACTGGTGGAAGGCCCACCGCTGCCACTAGCACCGCCACTGCTGTAGCCACTCATGCCTGGTGTGGAGTAGCTTGTTCCTGGCATGTCATAAGGGTCAACCGCTGGGGGCTGGGAGGCCAGGGGCTGCCCCTGGGACTGAGCCATGGAAGAGATGAGGGTGGGTTGCACGAGCCACTGGAGGTCCTGGCTGGTTGTGATCGCGGTGACCGTAGGCACGAAGGAACCGGGCATTTCCCCGAGACCGGTGCACTCCTACGGGGTGACACATACAGACACAGGCGTAGACACACAAACAAAGACACCAACACACACACACCCAACACACATAACACACACCGACCCTGTGAGTGAGCACAGGGTGAGCGGGTGTGGATGTGTGTGTCACAGGCAAAAAGCCACAACACCCACCCTTCCACTACACCGTGACGCAGTGGTTAATGAGAGGATTTCTGCTCAACTGGCTTCTACCTCCTCCTTCTTCCTCGGGGAAAGGTTGCACGGTTCCAGCGGGTGGTGAATCACACCCCGGGTTGGTGACTCTTAGGTGTAGGGGGTGGGGAGGAGGCTGGACACGGCCTGGTGACAGAACCCCGGGGACGGAGCCACAGCCATAACACCCCACCCCCACCCCAGAGGCAAGGGGAGGGAGAGGGAGAGGCCTTAGACCAAGCCTTCTCTCCACTCACACACATACACACACCACTCTGAGCGAAGTCCTGTGCAGGGGCGCGGGTCCTAGTTAAAAGGGTGCTGGAGGACCGGCCTAGGAGTTGAGAGCATCGTTTCAAGTAACTGTCTCTCTCCAGTGAGACTGACAAGTGACAGGTTCAGGTGCATAAACAGGTAGAGAAAAGTGACAACTCGGCTCTCTCAGACTGTCTCGAAAGGGAATGGTGTAGGATCTGACCCTCCAAGATCCAGCAGTGTTCATCGCCCCCCACTCGCAAGTGGAATCCTGGAATTGTTCCGGAGGCTTAACTACTCTGCTGGGGGGCGTGGTGAGGGAAGGGCTGGCTCGCTGTCCAATCAGCGTCCTGGGAACCGCGAAGGGGGCGGAGCTCCCGGAGACCACCTGGCTGGTTCCCCTCGGCTGTCTGTTCTAGTCCTGTCTTCGGACCAGCCGGAGGGACCCGGGGCAGAGCAAAGGGAGTGTGAGTGTGTCTGTGTGTTCCGGGACGATAAGGGGACGGCCACCAGATCTCCAGAATAAATGCCGGCACACAAAGAGTAAGAGCCGACAGGCTAGGTCCCTACAAGGGCCTCGCAAACCCACTGGGTCGCAGAGGGTCGCCCTCGTCTGACAGGCGTCCTTTCGCTGTGCCTCTAGAGGCCCTTACGAGACCCAAGCGCCTAAGAACCAAGGGTTCCAGGGACAGAGAGGGGGAAGGGAACTGCGCCCTCCAAATAGGAAGGGAAAGTTGATTGGCCAAAGCCCCGCGCCGAGCGGACCAATCGGAACGCCGGACTGCCTCCCTTAGCAACGTGGCCCCGGCGTTCCAAAATAGAACGCTCCCAGGACGTCAGGGGCGGGGCGGACGAAGGGGGCGTCGCGCGCCGTGCGTGCCCCGCGTCAGACGGAGAATTCCAGCGCGTCAGCCGTTACGCACGGGTCCCCCGTTACGTCTCCGCGCTGGAGGCGGAGGCTGCGCAGCGGAGGGTTCGAGGCCCGCTTTCCCGCAGGGTGGAGGCCGACCCGGCGCCAGAGTTGGCGCGGGGAAGGAGAAAAGAGATAGAAGACACTGATAGATTCCCCGGGATTTTCCCCTCCTGCCTAACTACCCTAGCTTCAGGTTGGGGATCTGAACTGGGGGGAGTCCCAGAACCAGCTAAAAGTTGTCAGCCCTGCTACCGCATACACGTTGCACTGAGCGAGCATTCCCCTGCCCGCTTCCCCCCCGCCGCGTTCCCTCCCCGCGCGCACACAATCAATTGCAAATATCTCCCGGTACTTTGCAAAGTGCACTCTCAGCTTATTTTCTCCCAGATACCGGGTTTTGGTGTGGCTTTACTTGAGGGGTGGCAGATCCCCACTTAAGGCATTCTACACTTTCAAAAATAAATAAAACTTCCAAAGCATCACCTCTACCATCTAGCGCTTACCTGGGAGGAGGCGGCGGTGGGTGGGCTGCCGAAGGAGTCCACCGAAGACAGATACTGAGACTCAGCAGAGGGTGAAGAGCTGCACCGGGAGCCGGAGTCGTAGTCTCCGGGGAAAGCCTGAAACATTTCCCTGGGCACAGGGGGGGCCCTGTGACCACGCTGAGGTCGCCGGGAAGCCAAGGCTATGGCCGGGTGGGGTCAGTAAGGTGCGAGTCCGGGGTGAGCCGAGCGCGTCCCCAAAGTACGCTGTTCGGGGAAGCTCGGAGAGAGGGCAGCGTCCCGCTCCGCTCCAACAATAGCAAAGTTTCTGTGCAGTTCCTCTGCAGTGCTGAGGCTCCTATGGGATGCCGCTGTATCTCCTGAAAGTCCAGGCTCTGTCAGACACCGGGTCGAGCGGGGATCGCTCCCCCAGAGGCAGAAGACGCTGTCCAGCTGTGCAGAATTCGCTTCAGGTGGGGTCTCTTCCACGCGTTCCGCGGATCCCCCGGGGGTGGGGAGTAATAAGACGAAAAAGTTAAGTCGGTCCTCCAGGAAACAATGAAGAAATACCTAGAAGAATTCTCCCAAAAACTTTCTCTCCGGAGTTAAAAAAGAAGAAGAAGAAACAAAACAAACTTCACAACCTCCAAGAAGAACCACAATAATCAAGTACCCAAGTCCGGGCTCCGTGTATCCCAGTCGTGGCGATAGTTCTCAGCCTTATGAATGAAGCGCAGAGCCGCCAGCCTGTATTTATATGTCTTGGGCCCGGCCCCCCTGCTTACGTCACTCCCCCTCGCTCAACAAAGTTCTCAAAAATCTCCGTTCCTGCTAAACCGATCCCCGCGCCCTCCATCAAGAGGTCTTTGGTACCCTTGTTCTGGTCACCTGTAGGACCCTCGCGGCCTTGGGGGTCTCGGGGGCTATGTTCCGGCCCACTCGGCAGGAGGGGATCCCGGCCCCGCCTTCCAGAAGTTCCTGTGACGCAATTAGCCATATAAGGAGCTCGACCGGCTCGCTGGAGTGTTTGTTTGGTATCCTAGCAATGACGTCAGAGGGAATCCCTCGCTCGTTCTCGCGCGGCGCCTGCGGAACCCGCCAGCGCCTGCGCAGTGCCACGCCGCCCCGGGGGCCGGTATTAATAGGTGCTTAAAGTATCCCGGGGAGCCCCTGATGACCCAGACCCAGAAGGCCACCTGCTTATCTCTGGCGCCGCCGCCCGTCCCGGTCTCCCACTGGCGCAGCGCCCCCTTTTGAGAGGAAGAGCTGATCTCCAGAAAGACTGATTATTGTGGTGTAGTCACGTAGGCGGGTAAACTGAGCCCTGAGCGGGGATAAAGAGGCTGTGATGCTCCAGGTTAAGTGCAGAGGTGGGATTGGGGTCCCAGGGCTCTTCACAGCTTCTGCCCTGATTCGTTCAATTTGGAAAATGTTTTCCCTTTCTGACCTTCAATTTGAGGTGTCCCAGCTGAGTGAATGATATGTGTTTGGGGCCTGGCTGGCCTCCTGGGTCCAGCATTGGAGAGGCACAGGGTTCAGAGAGGCTGGGAAATAAAAGGACAGCGCTCTCACCTGATGGTGTTGGTAGCCTCTTCTTCCTGCTTCATAACCTTACCTGGAGACAGAAAGAATGTGAGTGTAATTAATAAAACAACTGAGGACATGTACTTAGTACTTAATACTGGGTCCTGTGCTAAGCCTTCCAATATAAGACTTATAATCCTCAAAACAGCTTTGGGATTTGTGGTCCTGAGTATTGAACCCGGGCCTCATGCATACTACCAAATACTCTAGCTCTGAGCTACATCCTCATCCTACATCCTACATCCTTTTAAAATTTTATTTTGAGGCTGGGGATGTAGCTCAGTAGTTCTGCCGCCTACCTGACAAGTGCAAGGACCCGAGTTCGATCCCTGGTACCAAAAAAAAAAAAAAATTTATTTCAAGAGAGTCTTGCTAAATTGCCCAGACCGGCCTCAAACTTAGGATCTCTTGCCCCAGCCTCTCAAGTATCTGGAATGACGGACATCCCACACCGTGCCCGGCTTGAATGTTTTTCAGTTTATAAAGGAGGATAATGATGCTCAGAGAGGTTAAATGACTTGCCCAAGATCCTGTCGTAAGAAATTTACCCCACCCCAGAAAGAAGAAAAGAAATTTAAACCCAGAATAGTCAAACTCTGGAGCTCCTGCTCTTTTTTTGCTTTATTTGTGGAATGGAGCTGTAATATGCTGTCCAACAAGAGGATTGCTGTCAGTTTGAGGCTAGCCTGGGCTACATAGCAAAACCCTGTCTCAAAAAAAAAAAAAAGTTGCCTAGCCTTGGGCTCAAGAAATCCTCCTGCCTCAGCCCCCAAAGTAGCTGGGAGTCCTGGCCTGTGTACAGGGTCCAGGTTTAGAGCTCCAACACTTTCAGTTTCCTACCTGATTTCTTTGATCTTTGTGGGTTGGTGAAACATCCTGAAAAACCTGTGTCTGAAGATTGTGTAAATGATAGTGGTATCCTGGCAATTTCCATCCTTTAAATATTTATGGGCTTTACAAACCCACCCTGGGTGCTTCTGGTGTGCGCTATTGTAAATGAGACTCGGACGGCTAAGGCTGCTTACCCAAAGCAGCTCAGTTAATACATAGGGTTCAACAGTGTAATGCAACCGGGCATGGTAGTGCATGCCTGTAATTGCAGCACTCAGGAGGCTGAGGCAGGAGGATCACCGTGCGTTTCAGGCCAGCCTGGGCTACATAGTGAGTCCAAGCCCAGTCTAAACTACACAGTGAGACTCTGCCTTTTTTTTTCCTGCTGTACTGAGGACTGAACCTCGGGTTCTTCACACTGAGATACAGCTCTTGCCCCTTTTTATTATTTTGTTTTATTTATTGAGAGAGGGTTTTACTAAATTGCTAAATTGTTCACACTGGACTCAAACTTGTGATCCTCCTGCCTCAGTCTCGAAGAATGCTGGGATTAGATAGCGCCATGACAAAGGTGTTTCTGATGCTACAGCCCCCAACTCTTAAGCACCCAGCAGGAAGGATGCCACCAACTACTGAACAAGCAGAGACCCAGCAACTCCTCCTGCTCCACAACCTGGCCCACAGGGGGCGGCTTCTAATTCCCGGGGGAGTGTTGATTCCCTGCCCCAATCGGTGGGGAGGGTGTAGGGAGCCATAGGAGGCTGGAGGGGTAATGAGGGGCACTAAGGGCTGTTGAGATTTCCAGACAAAAGCCTAGACTCAAACCGCCCTCTACCTGCTTCCCTCACGCCCCCTCTGTCTGCTACCAGTCCGGAGGGAAGGACAGGGATGGGGATGACACAGCAGCCACCAGCAATGACTGGGCACCAGCAACAGACAGGGAGTGACCCCCTCGTCCTCCTGTCCTGTCTAAGCCCCTCATCTCCTCTTGCATGGAACAGAAGAGACACACAAACACCCACAAAGCCACTGTCATGTACACTCAGGGCCCGTGGGGTCATACATGGGCGCTCAAATGCCCACAAGGAGCAGCATGCGTGGCCACATAGAAACAGTTTCTTGGACACACACATGCACACGGTCATGTGGCTCCCACCACACGTGACATGTGTTCACACTCACAAGGAAACAGAGAATTCAGGGGTACAGCCAGACAGGGACAGGGACAGACCTCAAAACACACAGGGACCCTAGAACTTGCATGCACATGGACACATTTGTTCACACACAAACACCCAGAGATAAAGACATAAGTAGATGTGTGTGTACATGCGCACACACGCACACGTGCGCACACACACACTCAGACCAGCAACCACACACCCTGTTGGAACACCCACACATACAGTTCAACAAGAGCAGAAATGAGTTCCTCACAAGTGCTTATCTTTTGTGTGTGTGTGGTATTGTGGTTGGAACCCAGGCCACCCTACCTCCGAACTACTCCCCCAGCCCTTTTTAAATTTTATTTTGAGACAGGGTCTCACTAAAGTTCCCTCTGCTGGCCTTGAACTTGTGATTCTCCTGATTCAGCCTCCTGAGTGGCTGGCATTACAGCACGAACTAGCACACGTGGCTGTAAATCTCCCTCTCATAATGAGCTTTGAAGTTTGTTTGTTGTTTTTTGGGTTTTTTTGAGACAGGGTCTAGCTATGTAGCCCAGCCTGGCCTCAAACTCCTGCCTCAGCTCCCCAGAGTGCTGGGATCACAGGCGTGCGCCACCATGCCCGGTGTATCATAGTGAGCTTTGTGATGATATTCAGAGTTAACTTTCTTAATTCTCATGACACTCCTAGGAGGTAAGCTCTACCATTCAGAGGCAGGAAGTCCAGACGGGTGAGGTCACTCCAAGGGCCTAGTGGAGCTGTGCTCTTTGTACAGAGTGTGGGGCTCCAGAGCTGTGTTTCGCACTGTTACCCTCGAGCTAATGGTCACACTCACAGACACTAGGACTTCCCTGCTGCCCCTCACAGACCCAGGAGCCAGGCAACCTGGACTCACATCCCAACCCTGCCACTTTGTAGCTGGGTGAACTTAAACTAGTAACATCCCAGAGCCTCAGTTTCCCTGTGTAGGCCTGGTGAGGGATTCCAGGAAGCTCCCAGCAAGTCGTAGTTGCTTGTTTTGTTATTAAAATGACAGCCAAAAGCTGTACTTTCAGGGACCATTTCTATAGTTGGTTACTAAAATGACAGCCATGTGTGGTGGCTCATGCCTGTAACCTTTGTACTGTGAAGGCTGAGGCAGGAGGATCATCTTGAGTTCAAGGCCAGCCTGGGCTACATAGTGAGACCCTATCTCAAAAAAAAGTCCACTCTAACCTTTACAGGTTAGTGAGCCACCTACATTTGTCACAGGCCTCCTGTGTCCAACAAAGTCCCACTCAAATGTAAGTGCAGACAAGACACGACGCACACACCTTGCCTTCCAGAGTGTAGGGCAGAAGAGTGGAATTTGTCTCTGTGCCACCCAATCCCGGAAGCTTCCAGAAGGAGGAGGATTTGACCATAGAGGAGAGGGCAGATCCAGTTCAGGCTCTCCAGGGCTTGGCCTTCTGTCCCCGAAGGCCTTCCCCTCAGCAAATCTCTATGTCCTTCCTATGGCCATGTCCTTGCAACTCTGTTCCCTAGTTTCCCCGTCTCCAGAGTGAGGTTGAATGAATGCAGTCCCTG